TTTTTGTGGCTAGCCCGTTCGCGGGCTAGACACATTCGTATACTTAGAGTGCAATGTTTGTCGGATGAGCACAAAGTGTAACTCCAGTTCTTCATAACTTCATATAGACCTACGGCGCGTGTTTGTAAACAATATATTAGCAAATATGACTGCGAAGAACTGTTCTTTTAATGCGTTAAAACGCCGCTTTTGAGCCAGAGACTTTTCGGATCTTAAAATTTAAAGGTAAGTAAGCTTTTTTCTTGTAAAATAGCATCCTCAAATGCTGTCTGTGTGCTTCAATTAACCCACCATGCCGCACTTGTCAGGGGAAGAGCTTGCAAATATGTCTCAAACTCATATACTTCTCAAATACGCACCCAAATTCACTCTACTTTAGTACTTTGTTGTTTAATCTGTGTTACACTATGCCGCATTGGTTCAGTGTGCAATGTTTCTTTTACTTTTGTCGTCGCTTTTATCTTTGTGTATATACTTTTGTCGTGGTTTACTGTTTTTTGTCTTTATAAATATAACTGTGTATAAAATTATGCCAGATTGACAAGGTGAGAGCTTTCAAATATGAATATATCTTGTTAAACTGCTACAATGCACCCAAATTGACCCTACATTGTTGTTTTAATCTAGTATGTATAAACGCCAGACGATTAACCAAACAATCTGCTAATACTTCTTGTTATCCCACCAAGTTGCAATATATGCAAAAAATTATGCCCCAGATAATTTTACTCGATAACACTAGACAATTTTACTTATAGAGCCAGTTGTTCAAATCAGGATTAGTGCTAACCCTGGGTTAAAAGTCAATTACCCAAGTGCTATTTTGGGTTGTGTATTTCTGTACGCCTGTGTCTAATGCCAGATGATTTTACTTGTCAAAAGAAAAGTGCGGATGTTAATGGGTTAGGTATAGCCTGCGAACAGGCTCTCTTTGAACTCTCTTTCAATTCAAAGAGCCTGTTCGCAGGCTAGGTTAGGTATGGTAATTGTGGCAAGATTCAGCTGAAGGGTTTTTATAGTTGGTCGTTGCAATATATGCCGAAATGCACCCTACTTTTTTCTTTTATTTTGTCTAATGCCGGAAGATTTTACTCAATAACACTTACCTAGACAATTTTACTTTTGCAGCCAGTTGTTCAAAGCAGGATTAGCACTAACCTTTGGTTAAAATTCAATTACCAACTATTTTGCAGTGGCAAACACTAGGGAGGTGAAGGGCACCCCCCCCCCCCCCCAATATTTTCTCTAAGCCTTTGAATAATAGCTGATTAACTGTGTAACAAAACTGTATCAATGATTTTACTATCATAAAATCCTTGATAGGCTATTGTAAGTGCATGATATTTAAGCCAAAAGAGTTCTAAGAATTAAGATTTGCAGCAACAAATGGGTGGTTATATTTTGGTAACCTAAGCCTCCAAAGTAGTTATACATGTATTTTCTCTGTAATTTTTAGAAGATCTATTGTGAAGAGTTGCCAACATTTCAGAACCAGCGTGTTTACACTGACCAATTTCTAAAAATATGTTATTTTATGTTATTTAAATAGTATTATATTACTTTCAACTTACAAACGTGTTGATGATGTCTTGATTTGAAAATTAATTAGTTTGCATACACATACTTTTAAACACATAGTCATGATTTAACACAGACGATGGTCTGTGAATTAACACAGACTTTGCCATGGGCGAGTGATCGTGTGTGCGCACCTGCACACATGCTTCAAATTATTGCAGTGCGCAATTTACCATCAGGGTCTGAATTTTGCAGTATCCCGATATCCACAGGATACTAAAATTTGGTTTTGGATACCAAACTGTGAATGACTTATATCCCAACTGGATACTAAGAAAATTTCAAACATTAGGAAAATGTTAAGCACCCAAGCCTTTCCTAATATAATGTGCATTTTTGTGGATTAATGAATTGTCTAGTTGTTGACAACTTGACTGAACATTGAATCTCCTATTGTTACTGTAATTTGTAACAGCGAGAGTTATTGGATGGGACAGGGTATAATACTTATGGTAACCAGTATCCAGAAGTGTGATACTGCATTCTTAGGGGGGATACTAAACTTTGAATTCTGGTATCCCAGTTGGATACTGAGAAAATATTTAAATTTCAAACCCTGACCATGCACCTCATTCTGTATTAATTAATTACATTTGGAATATTGGGAATGGAACTTGCAATTTCCCAAGTTGCTTACCTATAAATTACTAAGTGCTATTTAAAGCACAATGTCAAATTGCTGTTTTTCAAAACCTTGGTTCTTTTCTCGTAACTATTTAATTGTGCCAATATTTTTAGGTAATTTAAATCATACAAGGAAGGAGTTCATCTGTTTTGCAATCATACGCCTGGCATTAATATTATGTGCCTGTAAAATGCATTTGGCCAGACCTAACTAACTGATTTGGCACATTTAAGTTGCCAAAATTCGTTAGTAACAAATTTTGGCTAGCCACATGTACGCATTTGCGTACCTATTTTCCTTCATTATTATGTGGCGAAATGTTTGCTACTCGTTTGTTTGGTGGGTGTGCAGGTTTTTGTGTGTTATGCAGGTTTTTGTGTGTTATGCAAACATGTGGGTTTGTTCTTGGTGGTTTCATTTGTTGGGGTTGGTGGTGTGTTGATCACATGTGGTTCCGGTTTTGGAGGTGGTGAGTGGGGAAGTGCGTTTTGTGCTGCGGTGAAGAGGTCTGGTAATTCTTCAATAAAGTAGTCATTTGGGCTGAGGTAATCAGATATTAACTGTTCGGCAGCTTGGGTTGCTTGTGTTTCCACACTGCTATCATTTACTTCCATTATTGACATGGTTTTTGGTTGTGGTGCTGGCTTGTATAGGGAATAACGATTGTGGGTTGAGTTTTGTAATTTTGCTTCCATCGTATGAACACTTGGTCATAACTTAGATTTTTACTCGTCTTGAATTTGCAAAAGTCTGTGAACATATGCACATAGTTGTATACCAAAGGGTCTGCAACAGTAGTTCCATGATAGTCTAGAAATGTTAGGAAATCTTCCTGTTGTTACGGTGAACACATCGTGGTGAATAAAGGCTGAAAAACTTGTTCGTATATTAAATTTAGGTCGTTTACCATATAAGGGTTGGGTAGGCTTATTTTGTATTAGTTGCTCGATTACCTTATATGGTTAATGAAGATCAAACAATTTAGATTGATGATATGCAGTATGTTTATTGAATTTTTTAGACGTGGTGGGAGTTTGACCTTGCTATTCTTAATAGGATTAATTGTGATGGTTTTTGCATATTTGTTTTCCTGTGATAAATGTTTTGACGTTGTCATGGAGTTTTAAATTTGATGGCATCTGAGGAAATTGAATCTGTGCAACAACCCACAGCAATGGGTGAAATGGTTCGCATTTCCCGTTAGAAGTTGATTTAGGTGAGTTTGAAAAATGTATTCATGAATTAGCAGTTTGTTCTATTTCAACGAAAACGGTATTATTGCATGTAGTGAATCAACATTGGCATCTTAATGGTTTAGATTGGTATTACAAACAGCAGCGATTGATACACCGGGTGGAAAGCATAATTTAAAAATGAAAATTAAAGCCCAGCAAATGACTTTCAAACAAGACATAACAAAAATATATAATTTATTGGCTAACGTTTCGTTGTATTGTTCACAACATCTTCAGAGCAAATAAACTTATTTACAAGCGTGCATTATATATATACAAATTTTTAAACGGTTACATTATTCAAATAAGCGAATAAGAGGAAGGGATGAAAAACAACCTATCACTAAAAATATTAGTAAATTAAAGATATAATGGTTAGTAATTATTAGTAATTAGAGACCTATAGCAAAGCATTAGAATAGGTCAAGAGGAGTTGACCTAATGTTGGCAATGGTTCCAAGTGATTGATTGCCAACATTAGGTCAACTCCTCTTGACCTATTCTAATGCTTTGCTATAGGTCTCTAATTACTAATAATTTCTAGCCATTATATCTTTAATTTACTAATATTTTTAATGATAGGTTGTTTTTCATCCCTTCCTCTTATTCGCTTATTTGAATAATGTAACCGTTTAAAAATTTGTATATATATAATGCACGCTTGTAAATAAGTTTAATTGCTCTGAAGATGTTGTGAACAATACGAAACGTTAGCCAATAAATTTTATATTTTTGTTATGTCTGGTATTACAAAAATTATTATTACAAATCACTAAAGTATATTTTATACTACGAAAGTTACATGATAGGAATTTTAACTACTCATTATAAAGTGGTATTGATAGACATTACAAAAAGTATTTTTTTACTTACGTCATGAAATATTTATACCTGTTATACCGGGTAGTATAATTATAATTTTGGCATGCTATTTATGTTTTGATCATCTCAGAAATTTTCGTTGGTAGATTGCAATGATGTATGGATAATGCTGCTCGTAATTGTTTTACTATTGCACTTGACAACACTAAATGAATTTACTGTAAATAACACAATGGTTGGTGGGATTAAGTTAATTATGATAAAAAGAAGGCTATGAACAGCCAATTTACTTGGTCTGGGTATAATTGTGGATAAATAATAATTGATAGACTACAATTTTATATTGTTCTGTACAGTTATATTTTGGAGAAAACTCAAACCTGTTGCAGTCTTTTTGTTTCAAGTGAACGTAAATATGACTACAGTATTAAAGCTATAAATCCAAGAGTGGAGTTCCCCAATATTTACAAGTTACTGTATATACAATGTGTAAAATGCAATTTAAAACATAACATTAATGTTTTCACTCAAAATTTCACGGATATCACCTACAGATAAATATGCTGACTTTACCTTATCATGTTCATCTCTTAAGTTCTCAGTAAATATATTAAAGGAATACCGAATGGTTTTCCGTGCAGGATTGCGTGTGGTCCATGCACGCGGGATGTTGCGAGACTTTCGGAAAGCGTAAAAATACACGAGCTGTACTTGATTAAAATTACTGATGAAATGTGCAGTTCTCACAACATTCATGAATTAACCAATCAGAGAATCGCTACTCCACGCTATTGAAAACAACAACATATGTGAACAGAATTTGATCGCAAATTCGTGAAAATATACAGCGAGAATACAGGGACTTTTTCGATAAAATATACCAAATTTGAAATGGAAAACCCGCTAAACAGAGAGCCAAAGTAGTTTTGAAGATTCTCGACCTGAATATGTGAAGATTGCGAAGCGTTTGATCAACTTTGAAGCGAGAGATGTTGTACTTGCATGCCATGGTCTGATGAATTTCAACGCTACGTGTTACTACTTGCTGAATAGCAATGTATCGATCAGAAATTTATTCATACAACTAAACCAACGTCTCAATAATTGGAAACTTACTTCAAAGTCGAAAGGTATCGTACAATGAAACTTTACAATGCGAGTATATTTGTAAAATTATGTGCAAGAATTTCTGTTCAGAATTTCCCGTGCAGGATTGTCTGATCCTGCACGGCTGTTGACCAATCAAATTGCGTGTTTCACTGTAGTTATTATATAATACTCATTATAAGATGACTAACAGATTTGAAATGTCCTTTTCCTTCACTCTGGTACCTGATCAAACTTTTGACTTCTTACAGTTGCTGATTTTGAGCCAATATATGTTGATCCCAATTCATCAACACTTACTTTGTCTTTCATCAACACTTACTTTTTAGACGCGGTGGGAGTTTGACCTTGCTATTCTTAATAGGATTAATTGTGATGGTTTTTGCATATTTGTTTTCCTGTAATGAATGTTTTGACATTGTCATGGAGTTTTAAATTTGATTGGCGTCTGAGCAATATGCTGTATACAAGTTATTAGCTAATCTTTTCTCACTGGGATAACAGGGTTAAGACAGTTACCACATTTTCCTTCCAAGGTGCTTCCAAAGTATTCAGCAATAATTTTTTGCTGACAATGTACATTATCCATCAAATAATGGGAAATTATGCAAGTGAAATTTCCTGTCTTCAAATCTATATAACACAATGCAGTGTGCATCAATGCCATCCCGACCAGCTCTCCCGGACTCTTGAACATATGCTTCATAACTTGGTGCAAAAGTAAGGTGAATTACAAAGCACACATCCGGCTTGTCAATACCCATCCGAAAAGAATTTGTTGCGCACAGACATTGACATTTCCATCCAGCCACAAGTTTGCATGTTTCAAATTGATTCACTTTGAAATACCATTCACTTTCAATTGCAAGGATAACTGTGATGTATCTTCCCTGTGACTACAATACACAATTCCACATTGACCACTGAATCTCGAACTTACTAGTTCCACAACTTGTTTAAGTGCAGCTGAAAATCCAGGTTTCTTTGGGAAGACCTCGAATATTAGGTTCTCTCTAACAAATGGCAATTTGATTATCTCTGGGTTTAAAAGTTTCAGTGGGCTTTTAATTTGCTCAATTGTTATTGCTGCAGCAGTTCCAGTTAAAGCAACAATAGGGACCCCATACTTCCTGAGGGCACCAAGCTCTTGGTAATCTGGGCGAAGATCAATCCCCCAAGTGTCACTACAATGCGGCCTCATCTATAGCAAAAAAGTTTAGTCGCCTTTCACATTTCAACTTGCAATGTGTGCATTGTTGGGCTCATTAACACTTCTGGACTGGTCAGCAGTACCTTATATTCACTATCACTTCTTCACAGCTATCCTTAGTTAGCATTGAGTTTATGTAACAGGTGTTAATGCCCTTTTCTCTTAGATTTAACAACTGATCATGCATCAATAAAGGTGAAACAACAACAGTTATGCCAGGTATGAGTAATCTTGGGATTGTGTATATTACCATTTTTCCACCACCAGTAGGAATGACAACAACTGTATCATTTTGTTGTAACACAGCATTTATTGCTTCCTTCTGTCCCGGTCTGAATGAAGAATGTCTAAATACATTTTTCAATATTCCATCAGGATCTTACTCTCCTGGTAGATGATCATCACACTCATTCCTTGAAGAGGTAGCTCATGAAAACAGCGAACTGGCATCTAGGGACCACAGAAAATACATTTTAGCAATATTGTACACTGTATTTACGCATTTTTTATGCATGTATTTTACATAGTTTCTGTGAGATAAAACTAATCCAGAAAGTTTTGCAGCATCTTTCTTACACATGCTATAAATACTTGTACGTAAATTATCCGTTTTAACCTCATATTCCCTGAACAAATCTAAACCAAGACTGTTACTTGATCTAAAGGCAGATAACTGATTTATGAAAAGTTTTGTCTCTTCGAAATGTAATGCACTAAAGAGTTTTAAAGAATTTTCCTTGTTTGTGAGCACGCCTGTAATGGAAGCCCACCCCAGCCAATGAAAAGAATTTAATACTGCTGTCAGTGTCATAACATTCAACACAAATAACTTTCCCGTCCTCTTTTGCTGTTTGAAAGAGTCGATCACCATAGCCTTCCTCAATAAATTGCTTTTCTTGTCCAAAATATGACTTTCAATTTATAGCGTCCGCCCTTTTTGAAAACATTACTCGGCAGGCGCTCTCGCCTGTAACCTGCATTTTCTGAACCTCCCAAAATGCTCCCTAAGCAACTGCGAAGGAGGTAGTGCAATTGCAGGTATATCTAAATAACATGAAGTGTTTACACAGCATAATATCACATTGCCCAAAGCTGCTTCAGGGACATTTGAACAGACAAAACCAGTATTTGCCAAATAATAAATCACAAGTATGTATGAACAAGATGAAGACCTGGTAAGTACAAAATGTTACAAGAAGACAGCTTGAATATTGTGTGACCCTGGAATGTGATGGGCACTTAGCTAAATTTATTTGGATATGCACCATTCCCAAATTTGTAAAGCCATGCCATGACAGTTTTCTGACTTGACACCCCCCATAGCATTTATGTAAGAACCTTCAGTTGTATTATCTGACTGGACAGATGTGGGTATCATGAGCATTATTAGATGGGGATTGTAACCCTAGTAAAATTGCCTTTATTTCTAAGTAGGTAAAATGAAATTTGGTCTCTACTGAGCTCCATTGTCAACCAGTTTCCTGCTTATCAAACACTCCCCCCCCCCCACCCTAAGAGTGAGGCATCTGTTGTTAGGACAAGTTGTTGTTAGGGGCCGCGGTGGCCAAGTGGTTAGCACACTTGCCTTTCACCTCTAAGGTCGCAGGTTCAAATCTCAGTGGGTTAGGCATTATAGGGTAGTGAGCAGATGGTTAATGAGGTTTGGACTAATCGCGGCTGCTTAAAGCGCCATTTGTAAGCTCACAGTCTACCTCGGTCTGCGTCTCGCCAGTTTTGGACAAATTCATGTAAACTTGCACGTCTGTATGCAAAGTATTCAATAAAGACTTAAGGTTTACTAATAACAAGAAACCTATGCCAATGGTGAAGATTTTTTATCCACCACAATAACTTTGACTTTGAGCCACTAGACAAAGTCATTGTAGCATCAAAGTCACCTTTGTTCTGTCTAAGGGCGTTGCTTTTGTTAACTTCTAATTTCCTGTAGTAAAGTTCCCCAAATTGTACTGCAGGGAGGCTAGACACTAGCAGGCCTATAACATGGGCCATATCACATATGGTGATGTGCTTGCTGTCTAACAGTCTGAACTTTGGATGATTTTGATGCTGATAGTCCTGCTAACATGGTAAGACTATTAATTATAAACCCAAGGAACTCTATTTCTTCAGTAGGTTTCAAGACAGATTTTTCTGGGTGTACAACAAACCCAAGTTTGTTAAATAAGTCTACTGTGTCATTAATAAGTGGACAGAGGCCATAAAGCATCCTGGCCGAATGAGTTTTATAGCTGTTTGAAAAGTATCCTTTTTAAAATGGTTGTATGGTACAAATTCATTTAAGGATTTAAAGGACATTGGCATCCAAAATTTTTATTGCATATATCTATTAAACTTAGTGGTAGAGAAAATTCGTTACAAACTTGAAGATTAGCCGCCATTTTGAAAATAACCACATATGCTAATTTATGCATAAATACATTCGGTGACGTCATTGGCTGGGTAAAGCTAAACTTGACAATATAAACTCATATTGTATTTTCCAAAGTTGTAAGAGCATTTCGTTGAAAAAATGAGAGAGAGAGAACAAATACATTTAAATCATGATGTAATTAACAAGTATCAATATTCTGCGGATATGTTTCAACAATATTGCGCTTAGATTTTGGACAGCTATGCAATATTTTTATGCTACATACATGTCTTGTATATCAAATAACTTTGATCAAAAGCAGTATAATAAGTACATTTTGTACAGCAGAAATACTTTCTGCTCATCAGCAAAAACATTATGCATTTAATATTTAGATGTGTTTCTATTAAAATCATCGCATAAGGGAGACAATATTTAATATTACATATATATTCAGTTCATACCAAAATGTTTATATCGAAATTCGAGCCACCAGCAACTTTGAAAATCATTTAGCAATATGTGTTGTGGTAGGCAAGGCAAAAACAAAAGCGCATTATAGAGGAAATTATAGGCAGATTGTGGCTGCATATTTCTGACAGTTATCTTCATTCGTCCAGATACACCCTTGAAGAAATTTTCAACTATTTTTGGTGTGGCTTAATAAGAAAACTACTGTGAGCTTGCCATGCAGCACTTTAAATATGAGCTTGCTAAAGGTGAAAACATGTACTGCCCAGTATACGGTTGTAATAGTGACTTTTGAAAAAACAGAGTGGGATAAGTTTCTTTCGGTTTCCAAGTGGAATATCCGTATCCCAGCAAAATCAACAAAAGACATGGCTTGAATTCTGCAAACGAAAAGCTTTTAATTCATTGTCAAACAGTAGAATTTGCTGACTTCATTTTGCCGAAGATGTGTATGAACAAGGGCATTCACCAAGTTGGGTGTGACGAAACGTTTCGACTACGATTGAAGAGTGATGCCTTGCCAATGTTGAATAAACCATTGCTTGATACGAGGACAAGTAAGAGGAGGATTCATACCGAGAAAAGGCAAAGAATAAAGGTAATTCTCAATCCAAATTTAGTGCTATAGTCAGTCAAATGCTGCAGATATTTATTAGCATGTATTATAAATATTAACCTACCTTTATAGAGACTCACTGAACTTCAAAATCCCAGCGAATCACCAAAGAAAGACTGCTCAAGAGAAGAAACCAAATGCGCACAAACGACTGAACAATTAGAGTCCTTTATCAAACCTATCAAATGAACTATGCTCGGAACCAAGTACATCGACCAAAATGTTTTCTTCTAACACCAGGGAAAGGTCGACACAAACAACCAAGAAACAAGGGACAAGATGAGTAAGAACGCAGACTCAAAGTCTAAAGGCATCAGCATCATCATATTTTGAAACAAAGTCCATGGTAGGATATCTGTCCACCTCAAAAGTGCAACCGGTAGATCCTCATGAACACCATGGGCATGGGCATGTCGACACGGCAGAGCCAACATGTGAAACTTCAAAAACAGAAGTTGATGTGGAAAGCATTTGCAGCTTTTCAAGCGAAGAGATGACTTCGAGGAGTCATCCACTGGAAGCAACGAAAGCAGTGGGGACGATGAACCAGATAAACGAACAGTTCTAAAAGCGGGGAAACGCCCACACAAGACCAGATCAAATTGATTATTTTTGAACAAGCTATTCTTGATGTTTTTGGTAAGTGTGGTTCTGATTGTATTGTGTCAATTGAAAACCAAATTGGGTTGTGCAAAATTTACTTCTGGTGCACAACTCAAAACGAAATTTACTTGGAATGGACAACTGGCCCTTCTATGTTCAAAATGCCTGCATTTCATCTACTGTTAGCATCTGGTATTTTCGTGACAGGATTGGAATCTGCGAAAGTTCTGCGACTATTTAATGTTGTTAAATATACCAAATGTTAAGAGACGACAATTGTCCAAGATCTTGAAGAATTATGTTATTCCGGCAGTTTACAAAGTTTGGCAAGTGGAGCAATATGCGAGACTAAGAGAGATTGAGAATGAACCCATTATAATTGCGTCGGATATGCGTGTTGATAGTCCTGGTCATAGTGGTCTATTTGGCTCGGGAAGCACACTGGAAATGAAAAGGAATGTTATATTGGATAGCCAAGTAATAAAGGTAAGAAATATAGAAAAAATTAATGAAATATATACTATATTATGATAGAAAGGCATTTTATTCAAATGATTCAGTATGCTCTGCCATATGCAAACAACCTAAACTGTTGATCTCAGTTGATTTCTACCAGGTTAGACACTACACATCTAAAACTGAAACTGGCTTTTTGTCTCTATAAGCATAATGACTATAGCAAATTCTTAACTCTTTTACAGTCAACAGAGGTAAAAAATGCTAATGCCATGGAGCTTGAATCTCTAAAGAGGCAACTGGAATGCTTACAGGACAAGGTTCAAGTGGCCAAGTTGGTGATGGATCGTCATATTCAAGTCTCATCATACATGACAAATGAGAAACCAGATATTGAGCATTCTTATGATATCTGCCATGTTGCAAAAGGTATAGGAATAATGCATATGTGTATACTACCAGGGTTTTGTGACCCCAGAATAAAAAATCCCATGTTCAATCTGCTTGATTGTGGACTTGGTAGAATTTTTTACTTTATATTACTGATAAAAAGATTTTTACACTTATTTCATATTTTGAAGGTGAAAAGAAGAAATTGATAAAGGTTTAAAAAAAATTTTAGGTCAATTAAGCCTTGGATTGTGGTAAGTAAATAAATACACAATTATGACTAAAGGACGTACATTTGAGTCAAAGCTGTTAATTAGTACATTTTTATTTATATTCAATTTGTTTTCTTTTTCATTTACATGACAGTCAATTGTTAATCGTATCTATTGGGTTGGTGACTCGAGTTCAACTGAAGATGAAAGAGAAGAAAAATGGTGCAGCATTCTGAATCATATTGTCAACATTCACAAACATGATGGCCATAAGATCTTTGTTGAATGTCGTCTTGAAAGAGTGGCTCAAACAGGGTACAGTTTTTTTCCTTTGATCTTTAAGCCCACATTTAATCATTTACCAAGTTTATCCTATTTTATTATTATAAAGTATAGTGCTTTTTTTAAAAATTTCCAGCCCTGATAAAATGATAATCTCACACATGTGATTATTTATGATAATCTCAATGTGAAAATTGTCACTTTTCGATTATCACTTTTCTGTGAAAATAATCACTTTTCAAAGACTGTCCTTTATACAATAAACATAAAAATACATGGATGCTTGGAAATACCAGATTTATTTCGAGTGCTGAAGATGATATAAAATTGTAGCCCACTGTAATCTGGGCCAAATGCTTAAAGACTAATGAATATAATGGTATATACTAACTTATATTTACAGGATCAGCTTCTTATAAAAAGTTGGACGAGATGCTAACAAGACCTCGTCTTATCACAGCAATTAGGAAGCTATCGCAATACCACCAGACATCTGGTCTGGAAGTCAAACATTCTCTGGACAATCAATTTGCTTCAAAGAACACATACCATTCTTATCACTCATTGAGTGCAAGGGTAAGTTTCCTTGCTTGATAATGCGCAATAACACCTTTTCCAGAAAACATTCACACCCTCACCCCCCTCCCCCAGCCCTATGAAGGAAGTTAGAAGGCAACCACTAACACAGAGATACATCCTAATACATTATTATTATTTCTCTCCCCTAGCCCTTCTGGTAGAAATGTCCTCTGTAAGAGGATTACAAATCTCTGTGGAACTACCCACAATGCAGAAAAATCTTTATATTGTTGCAGCCCCCTGTTTAATACATGATCACTAACGTTACAGGCCACTGGCATAATACACACACATGATGCTTATTATTTTTGTGCTAATATTAATGTTTTAACAGATTGTACTGTTCAAACTTGTACTACAATGAAAACAGCAACAGGAAACAAGCAACAACTGTGGATGGAAAGCTAAGATGGGCAATTTCCTATCCAAAGGCATTTAAAGGGGGGAAAGCAGTTGCAAAACCCACTTATGGTAAGAAATCCCTTCCCCAAAAATCTCAAGTAGAATCATGCCAGTGAAATATCTATTTTTCAATGCCTACTAGACCTTATGTATAAATTCCCATAATGACATCACAAGGCATAATACCCATGAGGAATGCTGGCCTTAGCAGTTATCGCCCGGAAAAATGAAACATTTCAAAATGGCCAATATCGAAATTTTCGCGGGCGATAACTACTAAGACCAGCACTCCTTGCGGGCATCAAGCCTTGTGACGTCATTATGCATAAGGTCTATTGTGAGACAAATATTTTGTCAAAATGAGTTAATAATTTCCTCCTACCCTTGCAAGCAAACAATGAACAATCTCATGATTTGTAGTCATAGTCATTTGTAGTCATACAGAAATTTACTCCCCACTATAGCCAATTCTGCCTGTTTATCATATGTATTTTCCATAATAATTAGTAATAGGACACAATTTCCTCATAAAACTTAGTGAATCTCGATAAACTCGATACAAAAATATATTGTTGTTTTGATTCTACCCAGCCAATGACGTCACACGGGTCATGTGATGCGAAGATAATTTTTTCAAAAAAAATTTCAAAATGGCAGATGATACGGTGACTTTAGCTGCAAATATTTTGGAAACGAAAAAGTTTGGTAAAGAATTATTATGATATTCATCGTTAGATGATGTAACCCTTTCAAAATAGGCAATAAAATTTTTGGGTGGCAATGTCCTTTAAGATTTAAGATAATTCTGTGTGTGCCATTCTTTTTGGGGTGCACAAACACATTAGAGAAATAGCTATCTTAGGTAGAATCGGCTTCCTCTATAACTCCGTTATGAAGAAGTTTGACAATTTCATTGTTAAAGGAGCAGTGTCACCTGGTCCGCATCTTTTCTGCACACACGAACTTGAAAAACTACAGCTGTAGTTTTTCAAGTTTTTCAATCCAATATGGCGGATTCGCGAGGCAGATTCACAAATTATAGGCCAAAATATGCATAGTTTTGTACCGTATAGCTTCAGGGGTTTCAGAATAAGCCGGCGGCCGGCGGAGTTCCGCCGGCTACTTGAACTTTTACCGCCGGCTACTTTTCGTCTGGTCACAGGAAAAAAATTATATACAAAGATACAAGTGAACCAACACGATGTTTGTTATGCTCCAATTGGAATTTCACACAAAACATCACTTATTTTGGAAGATCAATAAGATCAATAATATAGTACCAAACATAGCTTGCTTTCTGAGTTGGTGTCGACGTGAATCTTCCTGGAAGATAACTCTGATTGACTCTGACAGTGACTTAAGCATTGCCATTGGGGAATCCGAATTTGACAGTGAGCCAGAGAACCTTCACTAATTCTTTGACAACGAATTAATTATGATAAAGTGATGAAGTGAAAAAGTCTGGGCCGTAGCGAGGGGGAATTTAGAATTAACATATTCGGAAAATCGGGTTGGCCATTCGGAAAATTACGGCAACAATAGTATAACAAAATTTTAGTTGTTATTAAACAGAGAAAATATAATATAATTGTATTGTCAGTAAATATAATATAATTGTATTGTCAGTATAAACTGATTTACGAAATCATGGCATTTACATGGATATTAACATTTAAGAAATCGTAAATCGGTAAATATATGCATGCATACTTTATCATTTAAATAATATACCTTTAAAATACTGACAATTGATTAATTTTAAGCGGCTACATTATCCATGACAAACTGCAAAGAATCATATTACCCATACTTTCCTGCAACTTCTCCATGCAATATATAGTTAATTAAATATGCCTTCGCCCATTTAGTACTACTAAATTGTAAACAAATTGTAAATTTCGACATACTAAGGGAGCATTCATTTTTTAGCTGGGGGGGCGGGGGTGGGCCGGAGGAACTGATGTCTAATTCCATGCTAAAACTTGGAACCCCCAAGAGAAGAGTTGATAAAAAATTATGACCCCTTAGTTTTTTTACTGAAAAATGTTTTGACCCCTCAGGCTTTTTTATTGGGGGGCGGGGCTGAAAGCGAGGGCCGAAGGCCCGAGGAAATTTTTAAATCTAGAGTCTCTGAAATGCCATTTCCTGGACTTTGGAGAAGATTTGACAGAATTCTGATGGTCAGAAAACAGCGTTTTAGTATGTCGAAATTGACAATTTGGTAGTACTAAATGGGCGAAGGCGTATTTAATTAACTATATATTGGATAACTAGGATAAGTTGCAGGAAACTGTGGGTACTATCTTCATTATTTGCAGTGTGTCATGGATAATGCAGCCGCTTAAAGGTGATGTAAAATCCGTAATGTAAACAAACGCTTTGTTTACATTTTGAACTCAGCGCTACAGTTGTAAAATATGATTAGATATATATTATACTGAATTTTTAACACTCTTCCGGTTCGCTATGCTTGTAAATGAATGCAGACTAGAGATTCAATTCAAGAAAGTTCGGAAGGTGTGAAATATTAACAACATTCCAAAGGTTGCTCCCCCACTGATGGAATGTGTTGATGCGCAGAATATATGCGCAGAACGGACTTTACAGCATCTTTAAAATTAATAAAGCTTAAAATTGAAATCATGCTATGGTCCTGCGTTTTCTTTCATTCATGTTTTCACACAAAAACGGATAAAAACGAGGTCAATTGACGAACGTCATGGAAATGTTTTCCTATGGACTGTGTGAACAGAGCGTCAAATGAATTTTGCTTTATTGTTAAAGATGACGAGATAGTTGATAGATTCTGGACCTTTTTACCATTCTTGATCCAACTATTTCCAAATTCTATAAAATTATATTGGTGATTTTTTCACTGATTATTTTTATGACCCCTCCATTTATACCAAAACTATAAAAAGACCCACCCCTTTGAAGCATGTCAAAATTGGCTGACCCACCCCCAAATTCCTCCGGCCCACCCCCCCCAGCTAAAAAATGAATGCTCCCTAAAACGCTGTTTTCTGACCATCAGAATTCTGTTCTAAACTTCCCCAAAGTCCAGGAAATGGCATTTCAGAGACTCTAAATTAAAAAATTTCCTTGGGCCTTCGGCCCTCGTTCTCAGCCCCTAATAAAAAAGACCTTCCTACGGCACTGCATGCTACTCAGCTACTGTAATATGTCTGTGCGTAGAATATGCATATTTTTGTTTGTAAATTGCGTCTTCATTTTCCAGACAGCAAACACCTTCGTGATTAAACTACAAGTAGCACATTAAAGTACATTGTCACTTACAAGTATAAATACAAATGACATCTAAATCTAACAAGTGAACAGTTGTACTTTATCTTCTCACTTATTCTATATTATCTGATTGTTAATTTGCGTGCGAAAATGTTTTAAATTTCCATGCGAGGGCACGCCCCCCCCCCCGCCCTCCCTGCGCGTTTTTTTAACTATCAGTCACAGCCGGCTACTTTTTTGGTACAACCGCCTACTTCAAAT